GTGTGTGTGTGTGTGTGTGTGTGTGTGTGTGTGTGTGTATACATGTCTGCTTGTCTTATAGTGGCAAGGCACTGAATCTCCAGAGTCAAAGATCTGGGTTTTAATTCCCCTTCCAGTGTTTACTACATGTGTGGTTTCGGGCAAGTCACTTCATCTTTGTGGGTCTCAGTTTCCCTATCTGTCAAATGAGGAGGACTGGATTACATGACTGCTGAGACCCCTTTGTAGCTCCCCAGTGATGATCCTACGTCCAGTTATGTCACTACCAATCTCTAAGTGTATACAGGGCTTCATTCTTTATCATTTTGTTTCATCAGAGTTAGAAACCCCCATTGCAGCAATGTTGCCGAGTAATGAGTATTTCATTATGTTTTTTATTTCTTAAACCTACAGGTTCTTAGTTTTGGATGGAAGGCCAACCACGATTTATCTTTTTTGGGGGGGGAGAGTGGTTCATTCTCCACCCCCACCCCCACTTCCCCTGAATGACAGCATCAGCAGAGATAGAATTTCATTACATTTATGACCTGTAACTCTCTGCTCCTTCCCCTTTCTCTTTGTCTTGGCTGGCTACACATTGTGCTGGAGAGAGGAGAGGGAGTTGGAAAGCATCTTCCCATTGAGAAATTTACATAGTACAGCTGGAGGTCTTAAAAAGACTTCCAAAGAGGCCAAATCAGATGTAAATCAAAGGCAGGGAGATATTGGAGTTGACCTCTGGCTAGCCACAAGCACATAATTATTCTGGGTTTGAGGTCTGGGGTGTGTAGGGATGGTGTTTATCCTCTTCTTTCTGGAGCAGCCGCTGTCCACAGGGAGCCAACTTCCAATTCATTTCAGTTCTGTTCAGTTCAATCACCAAACATGTATCAAATGCTTCCTGTGTGTAAGATCCTACACATGGCTTTGTGGGTAGAAAGACAAAAAGTCTGACTTTATGTGAGCTTACTTCTATTGGAGATACAATATATATGCACATAATCATAATAGCTAGCATTTATATAATGCTTTAAGTTCTTTTAAGTATTATCTCATTTGAACTGTACATCAACCCTGGGAGGTAGGTAATTATTATCTTCATTTTATAGATAAGGAAACTGAGTCCAACAGAGGTTAAGTAACTTGCCCAGGGTCACACAGTGTCTAAGACTGAATTTGAACTTGAGACTTCCTGACTTCAGGTTAGTTGGGGTGGGAAAAACACGAATAATTTAGAGAATCTGGAAAGACCTTCTGAAGGAGGCAGCTACTGAGCTGAGCCAAGCAGGGAGCTAAGGATTCCAAGAGGAAGAGGTAAAGAGGCAAGAGCATCCTGGGCATAGGGGTGGGGTGGGTGGTCAGTCTGGAGAGATTGGTTGGTGTTTATCAAAGTGAAGTGCTTTGAATGTCAGATAAAAGAGTTTACATTTTATCCTGGAGGCAATTTCGGGGCTGCTGAAGCTTTTGGGGGGTTGGCATGGCTAGGCCTGTACTATTGCTGGAGGCCATGTGAGAGTTGATGAAGGTCTGAACTAGGTTGGTGGTTATGTGAGTGAAGAGAAAACTTGCCCACTTATTAGATGGGGAAACATGAGGGAGAGGGTTGAGTTGTGGATGGCTTTAAGTTTTTGAAGGGGATGATTGGAAGGATGGTCATGTGGCCTTGACAGAATCGGGGAATTTAGGAAGATGAGTAAGCCTGGGGTTGGGGGAGAGAAAGCTTAATGAATTTCCTTTTGGCCAAGTTGAGTTGGAGATGCCCATAAGGAGTGTCCAGCAAAGACTTGGTGTTTCAGGATGAGAACTCAAGAAGGAGGATCATCTACATCGAGGGGACAGTTTTAATTCATGAGAGCGATGACATCAACGAAAATAAGTTTAGATAGAGAAGAGAAGAGGGTCTGAGAAAGAGTCCTCAGGTTCATCCACAATCAGAGAATCGGCCATGAGTTATAACTGACAATAAAGAACAGAAGCAGTTGAGTTAACCCAGAATCTGCATAATTTACATATGCAGAAGTGTGGCAGAAAATCACAGTGATGTGCCTGACCCAATTCGAGAGTCATTTGGAGGAAAAAATGCCCTAGAAGTCCCATGATAGTAATCCCATATCCAGGACCTAGGTTAAAACAGTTGTAGTTCCCTCTGGTGACCTGTCTTTTTACACATGCCATTCTTTTCGAAGCCAGGAGGAAGGGCTAAATGTTTGGACATATTGGCAGTGTAATGGGGGGGGGGGAGGGATTCCTAATGATTGCATTGTGCATTATGCCTGAAGTCAGGGACCTCAGAGGCACAGGGACACTCAGTCAAAGTTATCTAGTCCAGTTCATTCATTTTGGGTCAGGGAAAGGAAGCAACTTGGGTCTGTTTTAACTTGATTCCTAATCCAAATACAAATTGGCAGACATTTATTAAATACCTTCTGTATATACAGTACAGCCTTGGACTAGAAATAGATACAAAGCTTAAATAACAAGAGCATTCCAGCCTTCAAGGAGTTAACGATCTAGACATAGACCATGTCTGTATCTTTCGAAGAATGTCTTAAAGTTTGCTAAGTGGTCTGTTTTTTATCTCATTTGAGCTTCACAGCAATAATTCATACTTACATAGCTCTCCAAGTCTTAGAAAGCACTTTTCTCACAACCACCGTGACATAAGCAGTGTCAACATTAATATTTACCTCAATTTACAAGGGGAAACTGAGCCTCCCAGAGGCAGAATGGCTTGTCCAGTTTTCACTCATCTAGTCAGTACTGAAGCTGGGATACAGACTTAGTTTTTCTGAGTCCAATCCTAGTGTGCTTTCTCCACTAACACAGCAATCACACTCCTGTTTTGTTGCCTATGAAAATATCGATGCAGGGGAAGTTGCTTGTAGGGTAAGACAGGATCCAAAGCCACTTTCAACCTCTGGCATGTTGAACCAGCTGTATACTTTGGGGCTATTGGCTTTTGCCAAGTAACCAATGTCAGTATGTCAATGGCCTCTAGGGATGTGATCCGGAATGGTGTTTGAACAGTGTAGGGTGATTTCTGCCATGAATCATTGGTTCCCTGAATCAGTTCCCAGGTAGAAGTAGGGTGTTATTGGTTGTCTAACATGTTTGGGGACACTGCCTTTTTGAGTCTCTTGTGAGGAAGTACGTGGCTCTTGGGCGCAAAGGGCTTATGTTTTGGTCTCTGTGGCTTGGAGAGGAGGAAGCAGACAGATGTCAATAAGGCCGGAAGCTAAGCTAGGGAAGTTGGTGAGGTTCCGTTCCTAACTCTCTTCCCCCACCCCCCTTCTCATTCCTCTTTATTCTTCACCCTTTCCTACTCTTACTTTCTCAGTTTATGCTCCATTCTTTCTCTTTCATGCTAAGGTAGCGGTTGATAAAGGCTCATTGGTATGATTTCTTCAAAAGTGATGTGATATACTAGGAAGAGTCCTGGTCTGAGAGTCAGGAGACCTGGCTTCTAGCCCCATATCTGCTGCTCACTAGCTGTATGAGGCTAGTCAGGCTGCTTCTTGGTCTGGGCCTCAGTTCTTTTATATCTGCAATGGTAGGGGCTGGAGGAGGGGTTAGAAATTGGGTTTTTACATCTGTAAGGTTCCTTTCAACCCTAATTATTTAATCCAATAATTATTTACATTATTTAAATTACATTTTTCTCCATGGACAATACAGTGCAATGGATAGAAAGTTAGCTTTTGAGTTAGGAAAAATGGAGTTCAAATCCTATCTCTGAGACTTATTGGCTATGAGACCCTGGACAAGTCTCTTAATCTCTCAATGCCCTTGGCAATGCTCAGGATTGCAGAAAAGATGCTGCTCATTTGCTTTAGGAGTTTGCTGATGAATTCACAGTTCTAGCCAAAATATTTTCCTAGAAGACTTTAAATACTGAGAAAGCTTTTAAGATGCATTGAAATGGTTGGGTAGGTAGTGATACTGGTAGATGCTGCTACTGGAGGAGACTGAGGCTGAGGCTGGAAGACCATTTAAATTCAGTAGTTTTAAGCTTCTGCAGGGTTAAAGTCCATCCGGTGGCTACACTAGGTCTGGTCCCAATATGGGGCATGGGTGGGTGGAGGTGGATGGGATGGAACCAAACTGCCTGGAGGAGGAGCAGACTGGCCCAAGTCAGAAACAACAGGTCAAAACTCCGGTGCCTGTCATCAGTGGAGTCAGGCCTGAAATGGCTGTAGCACTCGCTTGGGTGTGGTAAGGAGACCAAGGCTCAAATAGGAAAGCCCACCCAACAACAAAAGACCTCCCCACCCCCAAGGAAGAGTGTTGTGTGTGGAATGATAGTCAGTGGGGTGGGTATTCTGGAAAGGGGGATCTTTTGTCCTGCATTTTTGGAGTCACACTTGTGGAAGTGGCTACCTAGTCTGCCTAGGTAAGACCATCTCTGAAGGAGAGGTGGTTGCGAATGATGTGACATTGGGTATCCCAGCACTCCCCCCACTTTAGACTATAAACTCCTTGAGGGCAGGGACTGTCTTTTCTCTTTCTTTGCATTCAGAGCACTTAGCACTGTGCCTAGCACTTAGTAGGTTAGTCCTTATTAAAAGCTAGTTGACTGATTCAGAAATGAATCTTTGGGTGCTTAGGGCTGAGTACCAGGGCATCTGGGTGAAATGGAGTCCAGAAGCTGTGAGTTCACAAATTTGAAAGCAATTAAAGACTCCTTTCCTCATCTAATATTGCAAGTAAGGGCTGCCTTGGTGTTTCATTTTGGTCCCAGCAAGAACATATTTTTGCTGTAATTAGCCTGCTTTCCAAGTCTTGGCACAACTTCTGGGACAGTCTGCAGCCCATAAGACAGGAGGATGACTGATGTACATTGCCCAGTTTATGTGGGGCACTAATTCCCAGGATCCTGGTAAGTTTCTTAGTGTGAACACATTGTACAGAAAAAGGGGTGGATCACATGGCTGGTGATTACACACATCACATGTGTAGAATTATCCTGACAGCATCTTTTTTTTCTCTCCTATTTCTTCTTTCTGTTTCCTCTCTTGCAATAGGAAGAAAAAGAAAAATACCCATTTTGAAGAGACTTCTAAATGTGAGTACCATTTTTCTTTGGTTTTTGTATGACTTTTTGCAAGTTTGTGACAGGGTTTTTCCGTGTTTGTTCAACGGCAAAACAATTATTTCCCACCCTTTCCCAAATGATGAAAAAATGTGCTGGGCAATGAGACAGCCTTTTGCTTGAACTTTTGTCTCCATGATGCAGAGTAGCAAGTTCTGCAGGAAAGCTGGATCATGTACACTACCATTGAAGGTAACTGGGACCGTCTGATCCTGGCTTTCCTTCAACTCTCTGGGCAACTGTGACTACAAAGAATGATGGGTGTTGGTGTCTTAACACACATTTGTCAAGTAACTTACACACTCAATCTGCTCCACCACCTTCCTCAACGATAACACCTTCCCCCTGAGAATTACCTCCAATATTTCCTGTACGTGTTTTTTTTTTTTTTTAATATAGAGTTGATGCATGTTGAGCAGGAACTTTGGCTTTCTTTGTAGCCCTAGCACTTGGCACAGTGCCTGGGAACACAGTGGATGCTTATTAAATACTTGAGGCAGCTAGGTGGCTCAGTGGATAGAGCTCTGGCCAGAAAGTCAGAAAGAACTGGGTTCAAATCTAGCCTCAGATACCTACTAGCTGTGTGACCCTGGGCAAGTCACTTAACCCAGGTTTGCCTCAGTTTCCTCATCTGTGAAATAAGCTGGAGAAGGAAATGGCAAACCAGTGTAGTATCTTTGTGAAGAAAACCCCAAACGGGGTCACAGAGAGTCAGATGCTACCGAAATGATTCAACAACGACAACAATAAATGCTTAGTGATCTGAGTCGACTCTGACATTCTATGCTACAAGGTCTCTTCAAGTTCTGAAATTCTGTGAGAATTATGAAGCCTATGGTGGATGTCCCTTGAATTGGGAGATTAAGTCCACTTAGCATTGTGTATTTTCAGGTTTAAGTGTGAAGAGAAGAAGAGTATCCTTCAGACCTGTGACACAGTCCCACCTTTTCTTTGAATGGCTGGCCTCCAATTTAATCTGGTACTCAATTCTGCTTTGGTCTCTCTCTGCATTGAACAAACACTTAAAAGGTCCTGTCAGTGGAAATACAACAGTGTAGAAAATACCTGTGTTGTTTGTGGCCCTGGACCTCCTTGGCATGGCGTTTAAACCTGAATTCTGTTGTTGGCTTGGAAAAGCTACTGTTGCAGTCTAAATCCCTTAAATCCATGCATCTGTATGTAGTGAATCCCCCCCACCCCCCTCTCGGGGCTGAAGAACTTACATCCTTATATTACAGTTATATGATATTGGTGTAGCAACTTCACTGGTTAATATGTAGCAAGAAGAAAATAGCTCAGTTGTAACAAGCGCGTTTAATATTGTGGAACTGGAATGTTGTCGCTTTCTGGTTTTACATAAAAGATGGTTGTGTTAACAGACCCCATCAGCCCCTACTTCTTCAGCTGGTAGTTTTGTGGAAGCCAAACAAAGCAACCTGTTGTTTTCTTGAGGGCATTTCTTTTCCCCCCAAAGTTAGAAGAGAGCCCAGGTCCAGACAAGAACTGTAGAGCATAGATGTGAGAGCTAGTTGGGACCTTAAAGATTACCCAGCCAGAAAATCATCAACTTTAAGCTTGATGTGGCCGGAAAGGACATCTGGTCTGACACCCTCATTTTCTAGTTAAGGATATCATGCCCAGATCAGTTGTGACTTGTCTGATGATACACAGGTGTTAAATAGCAAAAGCAGCGTTTGAATGCACGTCTTTTTACTCCAATATATTCTGTAGATTTAGAATCTGACCTCAGCCACTTACTAGCTGTGTGACTGCACAAGTTACCTAACCCTGTTTGCCTATTTCCCCATCTATAAAATGAGCTGGAGAAGGAAATGGCAAGCCACTCCAGTATCTTTGCCAAGAAAACCCCAGATGGAATCATGAAGAGTAGGACATGACTGAAACACCACCACCACCATCAAGGGACAGAGATTCTGAAAAATCACAATATCTCAGGGCTGGAAGGGACCTGAGAGGCCCGTCTAGTTCAATATATATACCCTTAAAAAGTTTCCTGTCTATGACACACCCACACTTGTAACAATAGATTCTGGGCGATTGTTTTCTAAAGGGGAATTCTAAACATGCTTTGAGCAAAAGCAAGCAGTATGTAGATTCCTTTAAGGGGGGGTGGGGGAAAGAGGAGGTACCATTAATGTGGCTCTGTTATAAGATCTAGGGCGTTTAGTTTTTTTTAATAGTCACATGACTTTCTAGTCCTATTTGCTACCCAGAAAAACTTTATCTGGTACCTGGGATAATTAAGGTGAGTATCAACTCTACAGACACAACCAACTTTAGGAGGTGAAGTATTCAAGCATGAGCCCCTTCAGGGGAACCCATCCCAGTCTAATCCAATTCAACAAGTATTTATTTATTTATTTGTATTTATTCTTTTAAAATTTGTTTTATATATACTTGTATGACCTGTTTCAAAAGTCTAAATGAAGTTTCAATGTATTTGACACAAAGGTGTTTGCGGCAAATGAAGCAGAAGGTGTGGAGGGGTTGCAGTTGGGGAGGGAAGATATGCTTCTTTCCCCTTTTGTGAGATCTCAGATTTTTTAAAGCAATGCATAGGAGAGACGTAAGACAAACACTGAGCCTGCCTTTATTTTCCTGTCTTCTGGAAAGAATGGACAGGGTCAGATTGGATATATCTGTAGGGTAGCAAGCTATTCCCAGTGTATAGTGTGTGAGTGTGCACGCACGTGCATGTGTATGTATACATGCATGTATATGCACATATATACACACACTTGTATGTATATGTACATGTGTATTGTGTGCACACATGTATAAGTACACATGTATGTGTAAGTACCTTGTGTGCATATACATGTGTGTATGCACTTGTGTGTATATCTATGTGTATATGTACATGTGTATTTAGATATGCACATGTGTGTACACACATGTGCAGTGTGTGTGTGTGTGTGTGTGTGTAAAGGGGAGGATAAGCTGAAGGAAATAAGGCTTTCAGAAACTCCCAAGTCTCAAGAGTGTAACCTCTCAGAAGAGAGAAGCTTCTTAGCTCTGTGAACTCCCGGAAAGGCGTGAGTTCATTCTGCTGACTGTCAGAACAGGACTTCATAGCAATGTGAGCTCCTAAACCCAGAAGTCCCCACTCTCCAAACTGAACATGCTGAAGATTTCACAGCATCCTTCCCTGATGTTGCAGGAAAGACTCCAAGGTTGCAAAATTTGGGGAGCGTTGTCACGTCCTACACTTGTTACATTTTTCCTTCCTATCTGACACTCTTTTGTCTTTTTAAAGGTCCATAGGATTAGAGATGAGGAGAAAAAGAGGAAAGGGACTGAGAAACCAGAAAGAACCTCAAAGGTTATAGTCCAGTCCCTTCATTTTGCAGATGGGGAAACTGAGGCCCAGGAAACTAAAGTGACATACCCAGAGTCAAGCAACTAGTAAGTGGCAGAGCCAGGGTTCAAAGCCATATTCCATTTTGCATCTCATTCTACATTGAGTGTTCTTGACACCATACTATAAACCTCTGGTAATACCCATTGAAATAGCATTCCTTAGCTGCTACTGCTGAGGAGGAACCACTTATGGGGGGCCATCTCAGCAGTTCAATCTAACAAGCATTTATGAAGTGTCTCTTGTATAATATACAATTCCTGGGGAATACAAACATGAAAAACAATATAGACTCTGCCCTCAAGGAGTTTATCATCTACTTGGGAGGGTGTATAGGATGAGCACAAGTACATATAATGAATGAAAAGTCGAATGTGATAAGGCAAAACAAAGTAAGAATCCAGGAGAGAACTAATATCATTTTAATTCCTACAGTGAATTATTTTCCATTTGTGCCACTCTCCCATGAAGAAACAGCCTCTTCCTTCCCATCCTTAATGAGAAGGAATCACAAGTTGTGATTGGCTAGTGGATTTATCATTAGCTCTTTGAAGAGTTAACCTTGTGAGTGTACACACCCATTTTTCATGGAGCGAAAAAGAGTCCATTAGTTCCTGTTTGGTTCTGACCGATTTGGTTCTTTCCTTCACTTGAATGAAGTACAATGTAGGATGTTGAGTGGTATCATGGAAAAAGCACCAGATTGGCAATAAAATAAGACTTGAGCTCTTGTCTTGGCTTTGCTGTGTGACCTTGGGTAAATCACTTTTCTCTGGACTTCTATTTCCTCCCATAAAATGAAGAAGTAGAGCTGGGTGATCTCGAAGGTCCTTTTGAGCTTGAAATTCTATGATTTATAGTCTCTCATTAACTTGCTGTGTCATCTTGAGTGAATTTCTTGTCTTTGGGGAGCCTCATGTTATTTAGTTAAAAAATTATAGGATCAGATTAGATAATCTCATAAGTCTTCATTGCAGTTATAAAGTTTTATGGCTATGTAGTTACCTTAGGTATTTTTTTTTAGTTGAACTTAAGCTGAAATAAGGGTGGAGTGGATGCAGAAGCTGTTGAAATAGGGGCTTTGCCTTGGCTTGCCTTTTGGGCTAAAATGTATGCTAATATCCACCTAGTTTGTAGAATCTAGCATCTCTGTAAACCAAGTAATCCAGATACTATAGTGATCATCTGATGATTAGATCTTAGAACCCAAACCAGGGATGTCTATCTGAGCATCTTCTAAGTGTCAAGCAACTCTTATAAGTGCTGGGGATACAAAGACTGGGACAAGAAAAGAATCCTCATCCACAAGAGACATACATTCAGTACTAGACAGCTAAACCTCTTAGGTCTTACTCCGGTGAACTATTAAATACTGAGGGTTTTCCAACCGTGAAAACCCATCTTCCATCTTGCTTATGAGTCTCAAAGTAACTTATCTTCCAAGAGATGCTATCATTACTAAGATTACCAGGGACAACCTAGTATGAGCTAAAATGTCTCTTGGCTTTTGGATAACTAGTATTAGATCATTTCTGTGAATTCTTTTATTATCCTCTTATGGTGCCCACAGTCAGAGCTTCGTGGCTGGTTTTCC